GCCATTGATGTTAATACCGTATCCTTTCCAGTCCAGTAGCTTGAAAACGTCTTCCAACGCAGCGGTGAAGAGTTTCGTGGATATAACATCACCCTGTCTTACACCTCTCTGCAGTTGGATAGGTTTCGTACTCTGGTTCTGTACTCGGATAGCCATCGTAGCCCTACTGTACAAACACTTCAGCACTTCAATATACCGACAGACAACTAGGCACCGCTGAAGAGACTGTAGCACCGCCCAAATTTCGACGGAATCAAAGGCTTTCTCATAGTCCACATACGCCAGGCAAAGTGGCAGATTGTACTCTTCGGACTTCTGTAAAATTTGCCGAAGGGTATGTATGTGGTCTATGGTACTGAAGCCTTTTCGGAAACCGGCTTGTTCGGGAGGCTGGAAGTCGTCGAGTCTGCGTGCGCGACGATTTATAATGACTCTCGAAAACAGCACGTAGACGCGGCTCAGAAGGGAAATCGGTCTGTAGTTCTTCAAGAGAGCGTTGTCGCCTTTCTTAAAGAACAAGACCACCGCGCCTCTGCTCCATGCCTCCGGAGTAGTGCCACCATGGAGGACGGAATTGAAGAGCTTCTGAAGGACTTCAAGTAGGTACCGGTGTTCCACCCGCTTTCAGAAGCTCCGCTGTAATTCCATCCTCGCTCGGGGCTTGCCGTTTTTAAGGTGGTGGAGAGCCATTCTAAGCATTTCTGGAAGAAATAGTTTGTGGCGGCGCTGTCGTCGCGCCATAAGCGAAATACACCGAAGCCTAAATCACGCTATCAACATTCCGAATCATAAACAGTATATATAGAACATCTCCGAACTATATCACACGGAGTGTTGGCCGCTCCCCGGGCAGAACACCTTGCCCGGTGGGAGATCTCCCATTTTCCTACCACGGCCACAGTGTTGACCACCCGACGTGATCTGAACATGCAACCAAACAACCTTCGGAAAACTTCAAGCTTCATCATCGTCATAGAATACCCCACCCATTCGCTCCCGAGCAGATATCGTCTGCAGTCTTCATATTCTGCAAGCCATCTAGCTTCACAAGGTTCATCGCAGCACTGAAATAATAATGCTTCCTGTTCCTTCAAGCTACTCTCTGCGCCATACAGTGTTCGGCACGGCTCTGAGCCTTACTGCTCGCCTCTGCTTCACGGCACTCTCGCAGATTACTTGCCTTCTTCTCGCCTCACCGCAGACTACAAGGCAATCTCCTGGCAGTGCACATTCGTCGACAACTCGACTGCACTATCGACCTCCGGTCTGAGCAGGGGGGTGATGTGGCGGCGCTGTCGTCGCGCCACAAGCGAAATACACCGAAGCCTAAATCACGCTATCAAAATTCCGAATCATAAACAGCATATATAGAACATCTCCGAACTATCACACGGAGTGTTGGCCGCTCCCCGGGCAGAACACCTTGCCCGGTGGGAGATCTCCCCTTTTCCTACCACGGCCACAAGTTAACCATAAAGAGTCCCTCTTTCTCCATAAAGTCGGCCAGCTGCTGGCTCCTTCGGTTTCGTTGCCCTACTCCAAATTTCCCCACCTTCAGCTCACCGCTTTCTCTTTTGCCTAGTTTTGCGTTGAAGTCTCCCATCAACACCGTGTAGTGGGTTTTGCAGGAATGCATGGCTCTGGAAATATCCTCGTACATTTCCTCAACCTCTTCATCGCCTCCAGATCGTCAGCCCATCTGGTGGGGGCCGCCCTAAACTTCGCCTACCAGTACGAGGTTGTCACTCGAGCACCTTGCTTCCCTATCGGTTGTCGGTTCTTCGAGCTATATAACCGGCCCATTGCCACTTCAACACACTATTCCGTCGAGCTATGTCGGTTACTCTGGTTTTACTGCGGATAATCTTATTTCTAAGTAAAGCAACGAAATGGATATCTCGCTGAATAAAAATATGCAGTAAAAAACAAAGGCACTTACTCTGGACATAAATATTAAATCCTGACGCAAAGAATAAAAAACTTTTTAAAAACTACGCTAAACTCCATAGAAAAATTATCAAGCTAACCCAAAAAGCGAAAAATAACCATTTAATAAAAACATCACAAAATAAACTCAAAATAAATCCAAAGTTACATAAAAAGTAATAAAAAAATCAAAATTAAATTTGCCACAGGAGCCTATAATGTGTGTAAAAAAGATAATTTGTCTTTTACACATCCCATGGCCATTGCAAATGCATTTAATAATTATTTTATTGATGAAATTGAAAATAATGTAATAGCTGACATCACATTGAATAGCATTAATTTTAAAAATCTGACATTGAATTCATTATTTATGCAACCTGTATTAAATAATGACATAAAATAAACAATTTGTAGTTTAAAAAATACGAATATTGTTGGATATTATGGCGTGTCTACAAAAGTGATTAAATACACCAAGGAAGTAATAGCCCAACCAGTAGCACATGCACCTAAACTTACACATGTAACTTACATGTAACTTAAGTATTACTGATGGCATATTTCCAAAAAAACTGAAAAAAGTTATTATTAAGCTCCTACATAAAAAGATGACAGAATAGATTTAAAAAATTACAGACCTATCGCAAAAATTCCTATATTCTCAAAAGTTATTGAGAAAGTAATCTATAACTCTTTATACACCTATTTCAAAAAGTATGAATTATTTTGTAAAGAACAAAAGGGGTTTCGAAAAAATACTAATATTAATGTGGCACTGTATGACTTACGAGGGGCACACTGAAATTATCGGAAATAAGAAAAACCACATGCACGGTATAGCTAAATTGTATTTTATAGTTTTTCGAAGTATTCTCCGTTCAACTAAATGCACTTTTCCATTCGTGCAAACTAATCATTAAAACAGTAATTCCAGTCTGAATTTGATGTTGACAAAATGGCTGATTTGTACGCTTCCACAGCTGCTTCGGGGTCTTCAAACCGTTGACCGCGTAATAAAACTTTCATTCTAGGGAATGTAAAGAAATCATTTGGGCTCAGGTGAGGACTGTACGGAGGATGGCTCATCAGTTCAACGTTTACCTGCTTCAAAAAATCATTTGCCTTCCGAGCCGTATAGAAGCTCGCGTTATCGTGATGTAAGATGATGCGACGTTTCGGGTTATTTTTTCGGACTTCGGCTATCATTTCTGGCAAATAAACCGTGATATACCACTCAGCGGTAACCGTTCTGCGTTCCTATAAAGGTATTGTAGCAACATGCCCCTTTTTCGAGAGAAACGTAGCGTGCATTTTCTTTGACACGCTGCGGGAGCGAACCACTTTCGTTGGTTTGACCTCGTCTTCGAAGACCCAAACTGCGGACTGATGTTTTCTTTCAGGTTCGTATGAATAAATCCATGAATCGTCACCTGAGACGATATTATAAACGGCATTTGACTTCCCTCCGTTGAAGCATTATTATTTACGTATTGCGGCACCAATCTACACGAGCCGCCTTTTGCTCTTCGGATAAATTGTGGGGAACCCAGCGGGAAACTGACTTACACACTTTTTTTACACACGGCTCATTACGTAATAACGACTGAATTGCAGTCATTCCGATACTGATAACAGCCCGAATCTGCTCCTATGTCACATGACACATCTAATATAATAGTTCGCACAGCTGCGAAGTTTTCAGGCGTGACCGCAGTTCTTGGTCGACCTGCAGAAAAAACAGTGCTGAGCAGCACGCGATCGCGTCGGAACTCCGCATACTAGCGGTATATTGTCGTTTGACTCTGTGCTTCAACACCATAAATCATGAGCTCCATTTCTGTTAACGACGTGTCAACTTTAAACCTTTAAACTTTTTATTTTGTTTTAAATTTTTTTTTGTTTGAATGTTATTAAGATTCTAAGAGGCCAGTATTCAAATTCTAAAAAAGGTTTTATTGTAACTCAATCAGAAATATTCTATTCCCGATCATTTCAGCGAGCCCCTCCGTACTAGCCAATATTATGTTAGATGTAGATAAGAAAAATCCAGCTTGTGCCATTTATACCGACATGAACAAGGCTTTGATTATGTACACCATAAGATCTTGTTACATAAATTACATGGTTATGGTATAAGAGGGAACATTCTCCAGCTCTTAGAATCGTACCTAAGTAATAGAACCCAATACACAGAAATTTCTAGAATCAGTCCAAAGAGTAAATTAGATACTACATATTTATCAAAACCAAGACATATTAAATACGGGGTTTCACAAGATAGTATACTGGGGCCTCTGCTGTTTTTAATATATAAAAACGATATCCCAAAAATAACGTCACATAAAATGGTTCTCTTTGCGGATGATAGTACAGCTATAATAAAGTGTACAAACCAAGTTAATGATGAAAGTGACATCAATACCTTAATTTAATTTTAATTTAATAATAGACTTAATAATAATAATTTAGTAATAAATTTAATTTAAAACAAAAATTATGCACTTCCATCAACGCCGTAAAAACCCAAATATTAATATTAACTACAAAGGCTTCAATATTGAGGAAGCAATTATGGCTAAATTCTTGGGTATAATGATTGATAACCAACTCACTTGGAAGCCTCATGTTGATGATCTATGCAAACGACTCAGCAAATCCGCATATGCGCTTTCTCAACTTTCAAAAAAGGTTAACAGCCAGGCTCTTAGGCTGATAGCATACCATGGTATAGTTGCTTCTGTTTTGCGATATGGCATTATTTTCTGGGGACATTCTACTGATAAGAATGTGTATTCGTTGTCGTACTGAGTAGACGTGTACAAGTAAATTCTAAATATTTTCTAAATCAGTGCAAGTCTAATTCCATCCTTAACCAAGAAGACTTAAAACGTTTAATTGTGTGAAAGTTGTTTGTTTAATGTGACATTACACTCCTGTGCATCAACAAAGAGGACCCCCGCTACAATAACAGTGAGCCGTCTTCACCTCCGCGAAACACGTACGGTTGCTATTTTTTAACTCGCTTACTCAATACGTAGAATCGGTGTGTCGGTTAACGTAACGCAAGCAATATGAGCGTTCAGAGGTCACCAACTGGAGGGTCGCAACCAGATATATCTAAAATGAGCGATTTAGTGTCGGATTCATCAATTACATTTCGGAAACGAAAATTGCCTTTTGGTGTCGAATGTGCATGCTCTGAAGAATTAGGGGGAATGAGATCTGAACTAAGTCGTATCAGTTCTCTATTAGAAAAATACATCGTGTCTAATGAGCTGATTTTAAAAACCATGCAAGAAAATATTACTGATATAAAAAACCAAATTGCTGATATTAAATTGACGAACGAGCGATCTCATAGCGCAATGCAAGTAAAAATGGAATCACTTGAATCAGACTTAAACAAACTCAAAATTTCCTCAAAATCTGCACCAATAACGCTGGAAAACGAGTTGATACTCGGCGAACAAATTATACAGGAGATTCAGCAACGCAAAAATAGAGAAAAAAATATCGTGCTTGTCGGCTTACCTGAACAAATTGCGTCTACTCCTGAAGACAGATTGTCAAAAGACGAAGCTGAGGTATTCAAAACTATATCCTCGGTGAGTGCAGGCATTCCAAAACCGACAAAAATTTTCAGGATCGGCAAACTCCAACCAGGCAAGAACCGCAGTATCAAGGTGTGCTTCGAAACAATAGAACATGCCAAAATACTACTCCGCAACAGAAGTAAGCTACAAGATGGTCTAAAAATGTTCTCAGACCAAACACCAACTCAACAAAACTTTTTGAGAAAATTAAGAGAAGAATTAAAGCGACGACAAGATAATGGTGAGACTAACCTTACAATTAAATATGTTAATGGAACACCGTTAATCATAAAAACATCAAAAAACTCCACACAGTAAACACAGAAATAAACATTTGTATCAAAAACAACACTTATGAAATATTAAACAGTTACCAAAATTTTACAATCAACAAATCACGCTTTACCTTTCTCTACCTCAACGCTCGAAGTATACGTAAAGTGGGAAAACTCGATGAACTCAAGTGTGTATTACAAGCAATACCAAATAATGTGCACATCATACTGATAACTGAAACTTGGATTCGCAATGAGGAACAAGCATTACAACTTCAACTACCGAATTACTTTCATTATTATAACTACAGAACAGATGCTGGTGGAGGAGGGGTATCTGCTTATGTCCACAATAACCTGAAGCACAGTTTATCAGAGTCAAAATATGTAGGAGGCAATAACTATCTGTGGATAAAACTACAAAAATATGCACTTGAAGTAGGAGTGGTATATAATCCTGGACACACTAATTTCAAGCAATTTCTTGAAGTATACGAATCACAATTACAAGAAAGAAGCAGAGCAATAGTTTTTGGTGACTTTAACGTTGACTTACTCACAAAAAATTCAGAGACCAAAAGATACAGTCATCTGCTAAAACAGACTGGATACAAGATCATAAATAAAATCACAAAAAAATATTACACCAGACAAGGACATACAAAAAAGTCTATCCTAGATCATGTAAGCACCAACTTAAAGGAAGAAAACTTTCATATGGTATATGTCAACTCATCTTTTTCTGATCATAGACAGCTTTACGTGGAAATCAAGAAAACAAAACCGCCCCCAAGAAAATATTATCAATACGAAGCAATAAATTATAAAGAACTTCATAAATCAATGGAGAAAGCAGGAATACAAGAATCCAACGATGACTTCACAAGACTGGAAAAACTAATAAAAAAATGTATGGAAGAAAGCAAAGTAATAAAGACCAAAATTATGAATGAACCACAAAAAGAATGGATAAACAAAAGTATCATAACAGAGATCAATGAAAGAAACTTGATGTGGACAGAACTACAGAACAACCCAGAAAGAGAAGACCTGAAAGAAAAGTTTATCACCAAAAGACATAAAATAATCAAGTTAATACGGGAAACAAAGAAGTCATATTATAAGAAGGAATTCGACAAATACAGTGGAAAACCCAAAAAGCTATGGAATTTACTCAATACCCTAACAAATAATAAATTTAAACAAAGATGCGCTCCTCCTAAACTTATTGTTAATTCAATAGAAATTACTGATCCTCATGAGATATGCAATATATTTAATAACTTTTTCGCTACTATAGGGCCATATTTAGCTGACGAAATACCTATTCAGTTCCATGTAAATTATACTCACGCACTACCAAAACCACTTTTACAAAATTTGCAAATGAATAATTTAGACCCATGCACTGAAGAAGAAATTCTTAATATTATTAACAAACTTGATTCAAACAGTAGTGTCGGTCTAGATGGTATTAGTACAAAGGTTATCAAGTGTGTGAAGGACTTAATAATAAGTTCATTAACGAAAAACTTTAACAAACTTTTACAAAACGGATCATTTCCAGACTCACTTAAAATAGCCAAAGTAACACCTATTTACAAATCGGGACCAAAAACAGAACCGGGCAACTATCGACCAATTTCCGTACTGCCAGTATTATCAAAAATTCTCGAAAAAGTCTTACATACACGGCTACAAAACTACTTAGATTCTATAGATTTCTTTTTTGAAAGACAGTACGGATTTCGTTCTAAAAGTAATACACTCACAGCTACAATTGATCTGGTAACTAAAATCAAACAAAACATTGATAAAAAAACATCGTACTAGGAGTATTCATCGATTTGAAAAAGGCATTTGACACCGTAAGTCATAAACTGCTCTTAAAAAAACTGGAAGTCATTGGTATTACTGGCACAGCCTTAATAATGTTTGAGTCTTACCTCACGAATAGATCCCAGGTCGTTAAAATAGACAGTAGCACTCAAAGTCCCCCACAACCCATAACCTATGGAGTTCCACAAGGTTCAATATTGGGTCCTCTGCTCTTTTTAGTCTATATTAACAATATGCATGAGTTGGGCTTGAATGGCAATATCACACTTTACGCTGATGACACTTGCCTTTTTTACTTTGGCCCTTCAATTCATGATCTTGTCTCTCAAGCCCAGCAGGACCTTGACATTCTTCACGATTGGTTACAATACAATTTATTAACTATCAACATTTCCAAAACTAGCTACATAATATTTAAAGCAAAAAATAAACCTATACCTAATTTCACACCTCTTAAAATAAACAATACACCATTGCAAGAAGAAACTAATGAAAAATATCTTGGCCTTCATTTGGATACCTATTTAACATGGAAAGTTCACATTAAATATTTAATAACCAAATTAATGTCACTTCACGCCTTACTTCGGATTAATTTTCGATACATACCACAGAAACTACGTTTCACAATATATAATGCCCTAGTTAAACCACACCTGTTATATCTCATCGAGGTCTGGGGAAGCGCTGCCAGTACTAGATTAAACAAATTACAAATCCTACAAAATAAAATCATAAAAATGCTATTCAACTACAATTTCCGAACGTCAACTTCAAAAATTTTCCGAGAGACGAATCTGATGAATATCAAACAATTATACATTTACAGCACATGTATCTTTATTCGCAAATCCATGAACAAGAAGGTCCGCACGGATCTGCAATTCACCAAGCGAAAAAAAGTTGGGCGCATCTGCACTCGACGCGCAAGCTTCATTGTTTTGCCTAAAACTCGAACAAAGTACGGCCAGACCACAATTACATGCGAAGGTTCGCGCCTTTTTTAATAAGATACCCTCGGAAATAAAAAATGTAGACTCGTTCAATGTATTCAAAAAGCGACTAGCAAATCATATAATCACAAACATATCTATCTGAGTGCGTTGGACTGGTTTGTTCCTGGTTTATTATTGTGGTGATAAGGTGATAGTGTATAGTAGAATTTAACTTTTCTTTTATTTGTATAGATTTTTCCCGTCAATAGCTGTTTTTGATGTTATTTATTTTTCAACAACATAGGTACGACAATGAATTTTGTTATTTAGATTTACTTTTATTTATGTTCTCATGTAAGTGGCGTATAAAATGTCTTTATGAGAATAAATGTCTTTAAACATATATAAGGAGCTTGTATTTGGATGCAAAAACGATGTGCAAGATCAATGTGTGGTCTGAAAATAACAGATAGCTGTTTTACTTATTTTAAATCTTTAAAAATCCTAACACTGCCATTTTTGTATATTCTGGAATCAGCAATTTTTGTAAAAAAGTATCCATTTTTTTCCCAAAAATTATCTACAATTAGAAAGAATCCAATACGCATCCAAAACGTTAATAAGTTATGTTACATAAAATGTGAAACAATACTAATAAAAAAAGCTTTTTTGGTATTGCCCCGCGAATTTATAATAAACTACCTGATGCAATAAAAATATGAACTTATTTAAATTTAAAAAAGTGCTCAATGAATTATTAATAGATAAATGTTATTATAAAATTGACGAGTTCTTGAATGATAATTTTGAACAATTATATAAACTTATTATATTGACTAATTATATTATTTTGTTATTGTCATCTATTTAATTTTATCAATGTAGAATCTTAATCAGTATTACAATTTCAATAATTTTTATTCCATTTTATTTTTATGGCATGATTCTCATAAGAACACACAATTACATTTGTATGTCTTTAAGACAAAACATAGCATACTAATAATTGTAACCCTCGCAAGACCTTAAATATTTAAACCTACATACCTACTTCTGTTTGACAAATAAACTATTCTGATTCTGATTCTAAGTCTATCATGTAGAGAAACCCCGAGCATTGCCCTGTTCATAGCTCGCTGAGCGACCTTGCGCTTTCTCATACACCGTGAAGGTATATCTATATAGTAGGAGTAGTAGTAGAGTAGTCTATATTATCTTGATGTTAATGCTGTTAGTCTATACGACTCTTACAGCTTCATCTTGTCACAGGGCTCGCGGCCTAATTGCGAGCTAATTAAAAAGGGAAAGGCAATGAGGTGAAATGATGATGAATGATTTATGATTTGATATTGTTATCAATCATCATGTCGCCTTTTAGGCGTTTTTCTTTGAGCTATCTAACCGCAGTCCGAGGGTGGTGTGCGGACCCCCGTCTCTGACTGCTCAGCTCGTGTCGGTCGATGTTCTGGCGGTGAGAACCGTCCAGGAACGCGGGTGTACGGTGTGAGCTGGAACGCGTCGTGCCCGTCTGCGGGTGCGACGCGTCCCATTCGTTGTCCTATTTGTGTTTGTCCCATTTAGTGTGGGTGTAGTGTCGTTGTGTGATGTGCCTGCGACGCTTGGGTCGACTGGATCGAGCGATATTGGTGGCTCTATTAAAACATTTCGCGGTCTACGGAGATAGGACGCGACGTTTGCTATCGGAACGTAGTTAGCTGCGTTTGTCACTAGCGGGTTAGGGTGGGTTTCTACACTATCAAAGTAGCGTTGGGACATCTCCTTAAAATATTCGGAGATAGATGGTAGTTCACAATCATTGTGTAAGTCAGAGTTCCGTTGATACCACCGTGCGCCGGTGGCTTTCCGGATGAAAAAGTTTTGTACTCTTTGGAGTTTTAAAATATGGGTCTTATATGTATGGGCGAAAGCTACACTTGCATAGGACATAACTGGTCTAATGCAGGTTTTGTACAGTCGGAGTTTGTGTCTTAGGGACAGTTTACTCTTGCTGTTAACGAGAGGGTGTAGACGGCCAATTATTGACTTGGCTCTGTTGCGTACTACACTTATGTGCGTCTTGAAACTCATGCGGGAGTCGAAAGTGACGCCTAGATATTTGGCCGATTTTTCCCAAGGGATTGGGCGGTCGTATAAAGAGATTGTTTTGGGTTTAGAACCTCCTGTAGAATTCCGTTGAAAGTATACTGCTTCACTTTTATCGGGATTCACGTCGATTCTCCATAGGCGGAACCATTCACCAAGGCGATTGGTCGCTTTTTTGGAGCTTTATAGCGAGTCTATTTTTGTTGGGGTCTGACACAAAGAGTGCCGTATCGTCGGCAAAGAGGGCGGTGTTAACTACGGGGTCTTTTGGGATATCACTCGTGAAGAGTGTGAAAAGGAGTGGAGATAGTACGGAGCCCTGTGGAACCCCGGCCTTGAGGAAACGTTTCGAAGAACGAGTTCCCTCCACTCGATATCGAAAAGAGCGGTTCGAAAGGAAGGCTTGTATGATGTGCACGAGCCTATCGGGCACTTTTAGTTTGTACAGCTTGTAAATCAAGCCGTCGTGCCAGACCTTGTCAAACGCCTTCGCGACATCGAAGAAGAGGGCTCCCGTGTTTCGAGACTTTTTTCTTAACGGGTTTTGACTGAAGCCAGACAGAATGTATTCTGTTAGGCGATGAATCTGGTGAGTGCATGAGTGATTGGCTCTAAAGCCGAACTGTTCGTCTGGGAGGAGTCCGTTGGTTTCGGTGAAATGACGGAGACGCTTATGAATAATGCGCTCATATAATTTGGCCAATGTGTTGAGCAGGCTAATGGGTCTGTAGCTAGAGGGACGATTACGCGGTTTACCCGGTTTTGAGATCCCTATTACGTCTGCTTCTTTCCAGATGTCCGGGAAGGAGCAGTTCGTGAGAAAGGTGTTAAATATTCCTACTAGGAGGCAAATAAGTGGTGCCGAAAGGGATTTGAGAACCTTGTTGCTGATGCCGTCTGGCCCAGGGGCTGATCTATTTTTAAGACTTTTAATTGTATCGGTGACTTCATCTACTGTCACAGGATCGAGAGGTTCACCCGCTGGTGGCAGCGCAGTCCTACGTTCTACTTCCGTTTCTACCTCTAATAGGTGAGCGGGATCTATCGGTGCGGTGGATGGCGTGCACTGGTACTCTAGACTGTCTGCTAAGCATTCGGCTTTTTCAAGATCGTCAAGGGCGAGATCGGGGCGGTCCAGCCTCACGAGGGGCGGCATCGGTGCGGATTTGTAGGCTTTAAGAGCTCTTGTTAATCTTCAGGTGTCTTGGGATGGTTCGATACCTTCTAAGAGGTTATCCCAGTTATCATTTCTAAACTCGGCTACTCGTTGTTTAATCTCGTTTTGTAGAGAACGTACCCGAAGTTTATTGGTTTCCGTGCGATAGCGGTCGTAAGTTTTAAGCGCGGAATTCTTCGCTCTAATCAGCCGTCGAACATCCGCCGGAAGTTTCGTGTATTGATCGGTCGATACACGCACCTTATGGGAGCAATCTTC